CATAGGGGCCAATGCAGCCTCCTCCCCATCTGGGGTAGCCCCACAGGAGCCTGTGTACCCCCCCCAGCCTGTGTCAGCACCATAGGGGCCAATGCAGCCTCCCCCCCACCTGGGGTAGCCCCAAAGGAGCCTGTGTAGCCCCCCCAGCCTGTGTCAGCACCATAGGGGCCAATGCAGCCTCCCCCCCACCTGGGGTAGCCCCAAAGGAGCCTGTGTAGCCCCCCCAGCCTGTGTCAGCACCATAGGGGCCAATGCAGCCTCCCCCCCACCTGGGGTAGCCCCAAAGGAGCCTGTGTAGCCCCCCCAGCCTGTGTCAGCACCATAGGGGCCAATGCAGCCTCCCCCCCACCTGGGGTAGCCCCAAAGGAGCCTGTGTAGCCCCCCCAGCCTGTGTCAGCACCATAGGGGCCAATGCAGCCTCCCCCCCACCTGGGGTAGCCCCAAAGGAGCCTGTGTAGCCCCCCCAGCCTGTGTCAGCACCATAGGGGCCAATGCAGCCTCCCCCCCACCTGGGGTAGCCCCAAAGGAGCCTGTGTAGCCCCCCCAGCCTGTGTCAGCACCATAGGGGCCAATGCAGCCTCCCCCCCACCTGGGGTAGCCCCAAAGGAGCCTGTGTAGCCCCCCCAGCCTGTGTCAGCACCATAGGGGCCAATGCAGCCTCCCCCCCACCTGGGGTAGCCCCAAAGGAGCCTGTGTAGCCCCCCCAGCCTGTGTCAGCACCATAGGGGCCAATGCAGCCTCCCCCCCACCTGGGGTAGCCCCAAAGGAGCCTGTGTAGCCCCCCCAGCCTGTGTCAGCACCATAGGGGCCAATGCAGCCTCCCCCCCACCTGGGGTAGCCCCAAAGGAGCCTGTGTAGCCCCCCCAGCCTGTGTCAGCACCATAGGGGCCAATGCAGCCTCCTCCCCCCCACCTGGGGTAGCCCCAAAGGGGTCAATGTAGCCCCCCCAGCCTGTGTCAGCACCACAGGGGCCAATGCAGGCAGCCTCCTTCCCTTCCCCCAAACTGTGCCAGACACACAAGGCCCAACGCAGCCTCCTGCCCCCTCCAGCCTGTGTCTGTCTCATAGGGATTAGCGTGTTGCCTCCCCCAATACGCAGGCTGTGTGCACCATCCATGGAGCTCAATGCAGCTAGCTGCTGCTACCCAGCATGCCTGCTTATGGGCCACAGAGCCAGGGTGCTGGGCCCCCTGACTCCAGCTTGTATGCAGACCCATGGGAAGTGTTTACTGTCCTCATCCGCAGGGCTCAGGCTATCATCACAAAATGTATTTATAGCAAGTGCAGTGGTGTACTCAATCGGTACTTTTAAAGAAATGCAATCAGGCAGCACAAGGCTCTGGCATTTTGGTTTTGGAAAGAAATTCTGCAATTCATAGAAATGGCGGTGTTTTTTTAGATATAAAAGCAACACAAACACTGCAGCACCCTACTAAATACACAAACTAGAAAATGACCTTTAAAAAGACCCTAACTACTCTCTATTTTTGCCACGCAACCTGAGTGTGATGTAAAAATCAACAGCATAAATTGTGACAAGCATTCGATGTTACAAACGTTTTCACATCTAAAATAATAATAAGATAATCTAAGATAATAACCCAAAGTTAGGACATTTGATTTAAAATAACAAGATTTGAATCCCTCTTAAAATATGAATCTGTTAGAATGCCTTTAAATTCTAGAATGCCTTGCCTAGGTATCACTAACAGCATAACACAAAGTACAGTCTCTTGTCTCTGTGCAGACAGGCGATGAGAAGAAATTTTAAAAGGAAAAATGACACTACACATTTATTGGACAGCTCTTCCTGGTAAATAGCATCTTGGGTGGGAACCTATCCTCATTCTTTGTGGTAATGTTGAGAGGGAAGATAATGGATTCTAGCTGAGAAACTTCCAATATCTTTAAAGATATATCCTCTGCATTATTTATTTATTTATTTTTAAATTGGGCTGCTCTTTGGGGTTTTATTATAGAAGTAGACGACATATTGATTCTTCCACAGTCTGATTGATTGTTGGTATGGTTAATGTCTGACCCAGACAAAATCAGGCTGTCATATTTCAAAAGCATTTGAGAGGCTAGCTTTCTCAATATCCATATCTACACAGCAGCTAGTTTTAGAGAATCTTACTTTCAAATTTAGGTCAGGAGACATGGACCATATTCATAATTGTAATTAATAGAGTCTAAGTCAGGTGCCAATAGGAAGATCCTACAGTGCGTGTGTACTTTTTTCAGATTTTGACACTGGTTGTTCTGCAGAGTTTCATGAAATGGAGAATGTGTAGTTCTAGAAAATTTAAACAATACATTAAATATGTTGATCCTACATCACTGGTTCTTGATTTCCAGTTATCTCCTATGAGTTGCTGGTCCATATGCTTGTGTGAGGCCTCTCATGAATAGCTCATGAATTTAAACAGGACGGATCATTCACCCTAAAAATTATGGGGAAATATGTACATATGGTGATATGGGTGGGCGATTGTGAACAGTGAAGGATGCAAAGGCCCATGAGGAAGAGGGACAAGATAATCACTTGACAGGTTACCCTAAAATGCAGAACCTCCCCAAGTGCGGAGCCAGGGATATCTGCCTATTAATGAGATCTAGATTTTGCATGCGTGAGACAACTTAAATGAAGAGATGTGTGTGCAGGGAAGGTGTTAAAATTAATAATCCATGACATTTTAAGCATTTTCTACTGAAGTGCCCACAGCAAAACCCTACATTTCCCAAGAGAAACTTTAAATGGCTCCTTAAAACATGTCTGTCAATATCTGACACCTAGCCTATCAGTGGATACTTACTGAGCTCAGTTCAAGGCAGTATTTCACAATTTGGTTTGGCCACGTAACCCTTTTAAACTAGAAGGAATTTTGCAGAACCCCTAATATATAGAACTAAAAAAGCAGACCACAAATAAGTAAGGATAATGATAAACAAATGCTAAACAAGATCATGAGATCAACATTTAGTTCAATTGCACATATTTAAAAACAAAAATCACATATTAATTTTTTTAAAATAATAAAATGTCACTGTAATGGAATTTTCTCACAGAATCCTTATTTTCACTTCGCGGAACCCTGGGGGTCCATGGAACACCATTTGGGAAACACTGGCTTAAGGACATGAGAGTGTTGATTTTTGGATGGGCCCAGGGGAAAAAAAACAATAATTTTGCTAAAAAGCAAGAGACTCCACTATTTTCCCACAGCCCTGGCCTGGAGTTGCCAACCCTCCTCCTGGATTGACCTGGCATCTCCAGGAATTAAAGATGAATCTCCCATTAAAGACTGTCATATGATGAGATCTCCAGGAATACAACTAACCCAAACTGGCAACCCTATGGCTGTGTCTACACTGGCCACTTGTTCCAGAAAATCAGCCACTTTTCCGGAATAACTTGCCAGCTGACTACACTGGCCCCTTGAATTTCCAGAAAAGCACTGACAATCTACTGTAAGAAATCAGCCGCTTTTCCGGAAATACTATGCTGCTCCCGTTCGGGCAAAAGTCCTTTTCCCGGAAAACTGTTCCGTAAAAGGGCCAGTGTAGACAGCACAGTAGTGTTTTCTGCAAAAAAAAGCCCCGATCGCGAAAATGACGATGGGGGGGCTTTTTTGCGGAAAAGTGCGTCTAGATTGGCCACGGACGCTTTTCCGGAAAAAGTGCTTTTTTTTCCTGCCAATGTAGATGCGCTTTTTCCGGAAATACTTACAACGGAAAACTTTTTAAAGCATTTCCGGCAAAGGGTGCCAGTGTAGACGTAGCCTATGGGGTCTGGCCAGGTGCGGTGACCGGTGCTCTCTGCTCTGGGGGGGAACATGCAGGAGCTGGGACCAGCTGGCACACGGGAGACTTCCCAAAGAGAGGCAAAGGAGTGAGATGTGAGCTAGGGCAGGGGGAGCCGCTCTGCTGTGGCGCTGGAGACCTCGCATCCAGCGGGGCAGTTTCCACCGGGACAGCCAACTCCGCCCAGGCCGGGGCAGGCTCCCGCGGAGCCCCGGGAAAGGCCGGTGCAATAGGACAGTACCTATAAGAAATGTTAAGTTGCTCTCACCTCTGGAGGAAATAGCAGATACTAAAGGGCTATTTAATCTAGCAGAGAAAGACATAACAAGATCCAAAGGCTGGAAGCTAAAGCCAGACAAATTCTAACTTTGGTTTTTTTTAAGAGTGAGAGTAATTTAATCACTGAAAATACTAAAAGGAGAGATGGATTTTATCTCTTTTGATGTCCTCAGATCAAGACTAGATATAGGCTGAACCTCCCTGATCTGGCGCCCTCAGGTCTTGACTGATCCCGAACCAGGGAATTTACTGGATCAAGAAAGGTCAATGACAACCCTTCTGCTGCCATTGGCTGTGGGGCTCCACTCCAGTGGCAGCAGTGGAATTGCCATTAATGAAGCAGTAGTGGCGGGGTGCTGGGGGGGCGCAGAGGGGTGGGGTCTCGGTGGGAATGTGAGGGGGTATCCAGAGGACTTGGGAGTGCAGAGGGGTGGGGTCCGGAGGACTTGCAGGGTGCAGAGGGGTGGGGTCTCGGTGGGAATGTGAGGGGGTATCCAGAGGACTTGGGGGGTGCAAAAGAGTGGGGTCTCGGTGGGAATATGAGGGGGTGTCCAGAGGACTTGGGGAGTGCAGAGGGGTGGGGTCCGGAGGACTTGGGGGGAGCAGAGGGGTGGGGTCTCGGTGGGAATGTGAGGGGGTATCCAGAGGACTTGGGGGGTGCAAAAGAGTGGGGTCTCGGTGGGAATATGAGGGGGTGTCCAGAGGACTTGGGGAGTGCAGAGGGGTGGGGTCCGGAGGACTTGGGGGGAGCAGAGGGGTGGGGTCTCGGTGGGAATGTGAGGGGGTATCCAGAGGACTTGGGAGTGCAGAGGGGTGGGGTCCGGAGGACTTGCAGGGTGCAGAGGGGTGGGGTCTCGGTGGGAATGTGAGGGGGTATCCAGAGGACTTGGGGGGTGCAAAAGAGTGGGGTCTCGGTGGGAATATGAGGGGGTGTCCAGAGGACTTGGGGAGTGCAGAGGGGTGGGGTCTCGGTGGGAATGTGAGGGGGGATACAGAGGGCTTAGGACTTGCAGGGTGCAGAGGGGTGGGGTCTCGGTGGGAAGGTGGGACATGTCCAGAGAACTGTGGATTGCAGGGGGTGTAAGCTCTTGGTAGGAATGTGTCGGGGTGTCTAGAGGATTTGGAAAGTGCAGAGGAGTGGGGTCTTGGTGGGAATTTAGGGAGTGCAGAGGGCTGGAGTCTCGGTGGGAACGTGAGGGGGTGTCCAGAGGACTGGGGGGGTACAGAGGGGTGAGCTTTTGGTAGGAATGTGTAGGGGTGTCCAGAGGACTTGGGAGGTGCAGAGGGGTGGAGTCCTGGTGGGAATGTGGGCTGTGTCCAGAGGACTTTAGGGGTGCAGAGGGCTGGGGTCTCGGTGGGAATGTGAGGGGGTGTCCAGAGGACTGGGAGGGTGCAGAGGGCTGAGGTCTCGGTGGGAGCGCGTGTGTGTGGGGGGGTCTTGGTAGCTCTGATGCCAAAGCCCTGGGGGGCTGGTGTAGTCGGGAGTGGAATGCTGTGGGGCAGGGAGGAAGGGAGTTGGGTCCCAGAGATCTACTCTGGTTGGGGGGGTTGGAGGTGGGGGAGGGAAGGGAATCGGACTCCGGGGGAGTGCTGGGGTTGGGGGGTAGTGGATGTAATTGTATGCAAGTTCTTAAGTGTTTGGGGGTAGGAGGGAAGGACAGAATTAGGCCTGGGGAAGGAATTGCGCCCACCGTCCCAAGGGGCTGTTGGGTTGGGTGGGAGGGGCGGTGGAAGAGCGAAGGCCATGGGGTCTAGGCGACTGTGATTGCAGCTAGCACCCGGGACACTCTTTAGGTTGGGGTGAGTGGCTGCATAATCACAGCCCTGCCTTCCGCCCCTGTTATATAGAGGTTCCCCTGACAATGCTGTTGTTCCCTGGTCTGGTACCAGTCAGTATCCCTTTACCAAGCTTAAATCCCTGAGCAGACCAAGGGTTTAATACAGTCATGGGGACATGCTCAGGGCTGGCTAGTGTGATCTAGGGCAGCGAGGTGCCTTTGTGGAACTTGGTGGTGTTTATAAATGGCAGACCCGAACCCACTTAGGAGTACAGTTCCAGCCATATTTAATATTCCCTTTCCCTCTGGGCTGGCCGTACAGCCTTATGCTTTTCCATATTGTAGGAATGTAGTCCTAAAAGGACCATATTTTTAAATATTATTTTTTTTAGGAAGATGAACTGAAATATACTTTAAAACGATTAATAGAAGGACTGGGAGCAACTCGAGAGGCAGCACGTCCAGGTTTCAGTCTGGCACTAGCTCAGGTTGGTATTTTCCCACTGGAGCAGGTTGTCTGAATAGTGCTCACATGACTTAGTGAAAGTGTGCTGCTTATTTTGTGCTTACATACTTGGGAGTTGTATTTGGTTCACCTCTGGGTGCACAGAGGTCTTGGGAAGAGTCCTTGAATCTGAGTGAACTTTTTACAGCCTTTTCTACACACACAAGTTGTACCGCTTTAGATACACTGATAGGGTAATCCGTACAATCTACCATGCACTTAGGCATGCTCATGCTAGTAAAATGTTTTCCTTTAAGGCAAGGAGAATGTGTTCTATGGCAGACCTGTGATTTCCTGAGCATCAGCGTTATAAGCAACTAATTATATGAGCTGGATTTTTTTTTTGGCTCTGAACTAGAATTCAGGCTTTTAGGCAGTGTTCCAGCAGCTGTACCTGATGGAAAAGAGACTGGGTGACAAAGAAATGTCATTCTCACAAAGAAAAATCAAGCACACTATATGTTGGTTACCATTCTTTAGGTGCACTGATATTGAACGATTAATGAATTAACTTTCGCATCTTACACACTGTCATTTTCAGATCTTTAGTTTTATGAACTTTTTTATTTTTCTGAGCTACTCAGTCTCCAAATAGTTCCCAAAACAGGGGTTCTTCTGTACCTACACTGGGCACCTTTAGTGTGGACACAATTGCATTGCTGTAGAGATTATATTGGTTTTTAAAAAAATCAAATACCTAACTGACATAGTTAGAATATAACCTCGTCTGCATGCAGTTTTTGTTTTTGTGCTCTACTATAGGCTTATATATTCTGTAGAAAATTGTGTGTATGCTATGACTTTCCTTGGAATAGCCATGCCATTTGAAAATAAATACAACTTTAAAAAATGGCACCCCTAACCAACATAGCTATGCAGGGACATTTTAAATTGTAGATCTCGTCTCAGGTTGATAGACTCAGAGAGTTCAGTTCCAGTTCTTTCTTCAGTCAGTAGTTGTTGCAGATGATAAATATGGGTGGTGTTAGAACATTTTCTCATGGAGTTTTAATCTCTGTCTTGTGTTGATTCTGATATCCAGGTTTTGCAGTCTTTTGAGGAGATTCCACTGCATACTGTCCTGGAGCAGATAAAAGAAAAACACAATCTTGAGAGAGTCAAAAAGGTAGGTTTACCTTGTACTCAGAGGAACACCAGACAATAGTACATACTCTGTGTTCCTCAGTGAGTATTAATTGCCTTATCACCCTTACTTTGGGGACCCTTTTAAGGTAAATTATTCTAATGTGGTTAATTAATATCTGGAGTAAACCGTATTGTCACAGGATCTAATGTGCATGTGCACATGCAAAGGTTTACGTATGTAAATTGAGGGCAGTACAGTACCTTTTGCCTGGACAAGAACAACAAATGGTCTGGTAGCACTTTATAGACTAACGAAACATGTAGATGGTATCATGAGCTTTCGTGGGCACATCCCACTTCTTAAGATGAGGATATTCAAGGCTGGCTTTCCTTACTGCCGATGAAAACTGCCCAGAAGCATGTAAGAACTGTTGCTGAACATGAGAGCTAGCTATTTCTGCATTTTTAATTGCTGGATTGCAATGTTGATTTTCTTCTTTTCAGAAACTCTTTAGAAGTGCTGCCTTTGGAAACTTTTTTGGGGTACTGGCTCTTTTCCAGTCTGGTCGTCTTGCAAAGGTATCACGAGTGGGGCTTGTTCATGAACAATGTACCTTGTACTGTCCCAAATGCGGAACGAGACTTAGAAAGGAGGGATGGCCCATTGGTTTTGACATTAGCCTGGGGATTTAAAAGTATCAGGTTCAATTCAATTCCTTACTCCGCCAGATGCGTCCTGTGTGACTGTGAGCAAATCACTTAAGGTATGTCTACACAGTCACATTATTTCAAAATAACTAGCATTATTTCGAAATCGTGTCGAAATCCTGTCAAGCTGGAGAACTTCTTACTCTGACTCTTGTAACCCTCATTGTCCGAGGAGTAAGGGAAGTCGGAGGAAGAGTGCTCTATCTTGAAATAAGTGCTGTGTAGATGCTCCCAATTTCAAAATAAGCTATTTTGAAATAAGCTACACAATTGACATAGCTCAATTTGCGTAGCTTATTTCAAGTTAAGCCCTGCTGTGTAGACAAACCCTATGGCTCTCTGTTCTTCAGTTCCCCATTTTACAAATGGAGGTAATACCATGCTTTCATCCTATGGGGATGTCGTGAGGATAAATACATTAAAGGTTATAAGGTGCTCAGGTGATGGGGGTCAGATAAGTGCTTGAGCTGATACCTGCCACTAAAATCACAAGCTTTGTTTCATTCAAAATTATTGTGTTAAATACAGCTAGAAATCAAAAGTGTCAAAGAAATCCAGAAAATATATTTGAAGTGCCTCCTTGTAGGAAAGTTATTGGAGCTAATCATCCTTTGATATGAATCTGAGTGGGGTGGGGGGGAGAGGAGATGAAGGAGAGAGGATGAGAAGAGAGGAAAGAAGTAGTGGCTATAGATCGAGGGACAGAGGCGATAGAACATCACTTGTCAGTTACACACAGAAAATGCTGTATTGGGAAGATCTTACTTCTGCAGGAGGAGGCAATTGGGTTGGGTTATTATTAATAACGTTAAGATTCAGCCTGTGCGCTATGGTTAATAATGGAAACGGGAGCTTAACCGTGGCTGCTTGGTCTTTATTTTTTTTTCTTGTTTGAATTTCTAGGATAAAAAGGCCCTCCTGGAATGTGTCCGACTCCTGCAGAACTTGGTACAGCACCACGCCCATCTCCGAGATCTACCCAGGAGAACCCTTGTTGATATCCTCACGGAGGTATGAAAACATGGCACCTGAATAGTGAAACCTGGTGTTTGTGGTATTGTTTTTTCTCAGTTTGGGTTGGCACCAGCTTCGCTGATGTCAAAGGAGTCTTTCCATTAGCTTCAAAGGGTGTTGCACCAGATACTTAGTGGTCATGAAAAATGTCATATGGACTAGGGATGTTAAAGTGCAGCTGTGCATACAATTGCCTGATAAGCCCAGGTTTATCTGTTAATCTGAACGTAACATGCAACCCCCCCACCTGCTGCCTTTGTATCAGAGGCGGCAAAGGAGGAGGGAGGCAGGAGCCGGTGCTCATGGGAAACCTGCTTAAAAGCTGGCTCCTGGAGTCGTCTGTCCCCCGGTGGGAGCTAGCTTCCCGTGGGCACCAGCTCCTGCAGAGCCGCCGGCCCCCCTGCATTGCTGCCTCTGATAGAGAGGCAGCAGTGTAGTGGGGGGTAGGCAGGAGCTAGTACATGCAGGAAGCAGGTTTTCAAGCCGGCTCCCTGCACATACCGGCTCCTGTGGAGCTGCCTGCCCCACGTGCTGCTGCCTCTGATAAGAGGCAGCAACGGGGCAGGGGGGAGCTGGTGCTTGCGGAGAGCCGACTTAAAAGCCGGCTCCCTGCTGTCACCAGCTCTTGTCTGCCCCCCCTGCATGTAAATGTGTAACCTTTAAAAATTTCAGGGGTTACACATTTAGTCAAATACTTGATTTTTAACATCCCTAATACGGACATGTCTGTTTAGGCAAGGTCTGTCCCCAGAACTAGTGCAGGTCTGCGTGTGTTTCCCACGCTCAGTGTTGGTTGCCCAGGATAAGAGTAGATAGACTTGGATTGTTGGGGTGGGAGGAGAGGGAAATGATGCTGAGAAGGGAAGCTAAGGATGATCGCATAAAAAGATTGTGGAACGATTTATATGCTTTGTATGAATTCTCCAAGTGGAATGTGCAGACTAGCAACCTTAACTGAAAGTTAGCCAAGCTTTTTGTGGAGGAATATTCATGGTCTACCAACTTTGATATTAGGGTTTTTTGTATGCTTTCCATACTGCTGATTTGTGACCGTGACCAATTCAGGTACCTTGTAGTTCTTCAACGATGGGAGTTTCTTTTTTATTTCAAAAGAATCTATCCAGTTTATACCAAACCATATTAGTGTTCAAAATACTTGGCTAGGAAAATCCCATGGAGGTGAACCACACTTATTTAAAATGTATTTGTATTAAGAAATAATACAAAAAAAGCTTATGAATGTATAGCCGCAAAAGGGAAATGAATCAAAATGCAGCAGAAAGTCACAGTTCTAGCCATGGAATAAAGCAGTGTTTCTCACTCCTTTTTCAAAAGTATTGAAAAAGTATCCCTTTTTCAAAATAAATAAATAAATACTCCCAGTACCTACAGTTTTCAGACACACAATTTTTTTCTACCATTGGAACACAGTTGTTTAAACAACTGAATCGTAGCTGGGCGGGTGATGAAATTTTTGGGTGTAAAACGTATAAAAATAATAAAACGCTGTAAAACTTAAATCAAAAATTCAGTTTTCTTGAAATTTCAGTTTTGTTGACGTACCCCTGGACTTCTCTCAAGTACCCCTGAAGGTACTCGTACCACTGGTTGAGAAACACTGAAATAAAGCCCATAGAGCTGAGACCATCAGGGCCCCATTCTCGGTTGATCCATAGGTATTACTGTAGCAAATGTGATTAATTACAACATGCTGTCTTCTGATTGGGTGTCCATTGTACATCCTCTTGGGATCATTGATGAAATTGGGTCTAATATTGTCCTGGTGGTGGTTGTTGCTGGTATTATATCAATAGAAAGTTTTTATAAGGTGCCAAAAAGGATACAGCCTATTCTGTAGTCATCAACGGGTTGCTGATGGATCCCGAAGATGTTTTTAGGCCAGAATCTATGTTTTATAAAAGTCAAAGTAAAGGGCTGGTAACCCTCCTCCTATCCGATCCACTGTAGCTTTTGATGTTGTTCAATCTTGTGTCATAGGGCTAAAGATGTAAAATCCCAGTTAAACATAATGTTTAACTGGTTAACCATGACCTCCCCCAAGGGACTGCTGCACCATAAGTGGGGGGCTGCAGTCCCTTGCGGGGGGGGGGGGATTGTGCGGTCTGTCTGTCTGTCGGCCTTCTGCGCCACAAGTAGGAGGCTACTCCGACCCGGCCTGGTCCAGCTGGGGCAGCCACCCACTGGTTAACTGGGTAAGCATGCTGCTAAGGAGTGTGCTTAACCCTTTACATCCCGATTAGGACCTGTCTCCGCACAAACTTTGTACCCCTTATCTATACCAGTATAATTACACTAGTTCAACATCTGGTCCAATTGTGTTTGTGTAAAGATGCTGTATACCAATATCACTGTTTCTGTAGCACAGTGTTTCCCAATTTTATTTGGCCACGGAACCCTTTTAAACGTGAAAGAATTTTGCAGAACCCCTAATAACAGTCTAATATATGGAGCTGAAAAAGTAGACCACAAAAAAGTAAGGATAATAATAAACAAATGCTAAACAGGGTCATGAGATCAACATTTAATTAAATTGCACGTATTTAAAAACAAAAATCACATGTAACGTGTGCAAAAAATAAAGCAACTGGTTTGACAGCTGAAGCTTCAACTTTGTCCGCCGCCGCGCTAGTATATTCGTGTTCAGTCACCCATGTGATCCACGCTCCCTGAGAGTGAGTCCGGGGATTTACGGTGTTATATAACAGGTGATTGCAGTTATTGACTGCGCGCGCAGCGGTGAGCAGTGACATCATCATCCCCACTCTCTGGCTAAGCTGGCATTACACAGGGACACTTATCGTGGCGAACACAAATGAAAATTGTTTTCAATAAAATTCATAAATGCTTAAATATTAATGATTATTTTTTAAATCATAAAATGTTATTGTAATGGAATCTTCTCGCGGAACCCTTATGGTCGCTTTGCAGAACCCCGTTTGGGAAACACTGCTATGGAGGAAGGAGAATATGCCATACTGATACAAGGCACCCGTGTATTGATACAACTGCATCCACCCTATGGGATTTAAGAAACCCACCCCCTTGCCTCATGTAGTTACACCATTCGATAACTTGCTGTGTTGCTTCTCAATTGCATTGCTGTTTAGATTCCTGAAGCTGTGTTTGAGGAAGTCCTGTTTGGCGCCCTGCAGGCTGACCTCACTTCGGCCTTCAGCACCCCGGGGCAGCTGCATCTCTTGCTCGTGAGCATTCAGAAGTTCCCTGGGGTTCTGAAACCCAGCAAGCTGAAGAGACTGCTAGGCTCATCTGCCATTGTAACCAAGGAGAACATTCCCAGGTGAGTTGTAGAAGGGCATGGAGATGCCATGCGTCCAACCTCCTAACTGTCGAGGAGAAACAATCGTATGGCTCTGATGCCTGGAGGTGCTGGGCGCCTGTCTCTCCCATTGTGTCTCCCCTTAGATTCAGAATGGAGCTGCTGGTGGGGTTGAGGTTTATTCTTGGTCACTCCAGGTATGGCAGGGAGTGCTGCTTCCAATATGTAGATCAGTTGCTCACCCTTAGGGAAAGTGGCCAGGGATAACTTGTTGTCTGTCTGCTCCAAAGCTCCTTCGCACCTGGATAGTTCCCGTTCCATTTCCTATCCTCCTGGGGTTGCTTTTCTCCTCAGGCTTGTGGAGGTTTTGAAAACTGCTGCCAGGTCTGAGAAGAAGGACAAGAATCTTCCACGTGTCGGGCTGGACTTGCTCCGAGTGTCTGTGAACGAAGGCGCCTTTGAACTCTTCTGGGAAGAAGCCGTGGAGAATGGGCTGCTTAAAGAAAAGTCGGGGCCGAACAGGTTTGTTTTAAATGCCGTCCTTTGTTCTTACTATAACCTACTTGTCCGCTTCCGATCAGAGCGCATATTCTGCTGCTCTATGGTAACTAAAACGTGACCAAAAAAGGGGCAGATGGTTTGTGAGAAATTCTCCCCACTTTTTTACGTTTTTTAACTCGGATCTTGTAACAAAATGAAGAAGCAACTTTGTTGCAGTTTAGGAAATACTGCTTAAAATGTGGTGCTGTTTCCTGTTCTCAATAACTCAGACAAAAAATCAGGCCCATGTGACTGAAGATGATGGAAACTTAAAGGCAGATATGCAGCCTAGAATTATTTATAACTTTTAAATTTACCAAATTTCAGTCTGACAGTGCCCCTCTGAATGTGAGATTTGGAGATGGCCCAGACGCTGAAATGTGGGTCCAGTCCCTTTTTGTGCGTTACTATGGGCTGAATGCACATCCTTAGACCTTATGTGCGCCCCGTTTGGTTTTGGATTTGGCACAGAACTGAAAACGTTCATTTCCATTTTTAACACGAAGGAGGCTGAGACTGCAAGAGTTAGCTGTTTTAGCTGGGGATGTCCATGTGTAGAAGACTACATGGTTAACTGATAAGCCTGGATTTACAAATTAATCCTGTCGTCTCATTCATCCTCCACATCCCCTGCTGCCTCTGTATCAGAGACAGCAAACGGTGGGAGCTGGTTTAATGTCGGCTCCCCACGAGCTCCGGATCTATCTGCCCTCTGCCACCCCCAATCTACTGATAGGTATGAGGAGCTGGCTTTTAAGCTGGTTCTCTGTGCATGCCAGCTCCATGGACTCGCTTGCCCCCGTTCTCCTTGCTATCGAAGGCAGCAGCATGGAGGGGGAACAGGGAAGGCTGCTCTGCAGCAGCAGCCCCTATA